TCGGTGACCAGATCCGTGAACTGATATATTCTCTGGACATTCCGGGATGTTCCTCCACAATGCATTCAGGGAATTCCATCTTAAATAGCTGCTTTCAGAGTTAATGTAAATTCACAACTGATACTCAGTTGACCATTAATTCTGACCATCCACGGTCTCTTGCATTTTGAAAATCTCTTGCAAGAGGTCCATTCACAGTCCTTCCCGCCAGCCTTATTGTATAGGGTCCACCATCAACACTGCTGATGAGTTGCAATGGCTCCAAAGCATTAGTCTCGATCAATAGTTCAATTCTAGCAATAATCTCAGGCAATTAAACATCCTTCAGATGAGTCCATCCTTCTAAATCCTTTTGTCTTGGAATATTTCCTTCATAGTGTCATGATGGGTTCACTGGAAGCGACCCAAGAATGCAGAACACCACTGACGGACACAAGGATAAAAGTTTAACAGTTTTATTGATGCACAAACACACTGAATGTACGGGTTCTGGTTCGGGGCCTGGATTCAGGTTCACTGGAGTCTGCGTGAGAGACAGTTCCGTTAGCGTAGCCAACAAAGGTTTGATTTCCAGATGTTACTGATTGTACCTTGAGGGTTCTTGAGGTTTGTCTTGGGAGAGTCTCTGTTGGTTCTGGAGAAGAGTTCATCAGCAGAGTCCGTTTGCTGCTTCAGCGTCTCACGTCTAGTTTGAACAGACCTTGGCTTTGGGATTCCCAGCTCTAGTCCAGAGCTGCTTGGAGGTTCTCTGTGAATCTTCAGGTTTGGCTCAGAGGGTCGGCTCGGCAGGTTAGCTCTTCCAGAGCTTTCACAGAGGAGGCACAGGTTTCCTGGAAAACAGACACAGGGGTTAGAATCCAAGCTGGATTCAAAAGTCATAGAATTACTCTGAGGATCTAGGCTTAAGCGCTGACCAACTGGAACAACACTGCGGCGTTGAGGCAAGGTCTGAAGACAGCTTAAGTAGTGGATCCTCTGATGATCTTGACGAGCTGCAGCTGTGCAGGAGGCCCCCTCAGAGGATCCACGGCGGACTCTGCTGGAGAAAGGTGGAATCTCTCCAGCTCCCAACACATAGAATGCACTCTTGTTTCAATTCAATTCAATTCAGTTTATTTATATAGCGCCAAATTCACAACACATGTCATCTCAAGGCACTTTACAGTTCACCAGATCATCCAGTCAAATTGATACAAAGTTTTCTATCTAAGGAAAACCAGCTGATTGCATCGACTCATTGACTCTTCAGCAATCCCTCACACTAAGCATGCTTGTAGCGACAGTGGAGAGGAAAAACTCCCTTTTAACAGGAAGAAACCTCCAGCAGAACCAGGCTCAGTGTGAGCGGCCATCTGCTGAGGCCCACTGGGGTTCAAGGAGACAGAAGCAGACATAGAAAAAGAAGCATAGATACAAAAGGCAACTGTCAACCAGCTCCACAGGCGGCCCCGTCCAGGAAACACACAGCCAGGCAGACGAGCTCCGAGCCAGCTCCCATGTCAGAGGATGAAGAGAGGACATTCAGTTAGTCACAGTCAGAGAAACAGGACCACACTGGAAAACAGGCCGATCTCCAACATCTATAAACAAAGGTGTTGATGGCAGCAGCACAGCTGATATTTCTCTCCAGGATGGAGTCACAGCCAAACAGGAACAGACCAGATGAAGCTACTATGAGAAAAAGCAGAGAGAGCAGAACGTTAGAGATTGAACTAACAGATTCTGCAGAGTGGGAGAATAGAGATAGAATGAAGCAGAATGATGAAATGGGGGTCCCTATGTCCTCCAGCAGTCTAAGCCTATAGCAGCAGAACTATAGAGATAGCTCAGGATAACCTGAGCCCCTCTAACTAGAAGCTTTATCAAAAAGGAAAGTTTTAAGCCTAGCCTAAAAGTAGACAGGGTGTCTGCCTCACGGACTAAAACTGGTAGTTGGTTCCACAGGAGAGGAGCCTGAGAACTAAAAGATCTGCCTCCCATTCTACTTTTAGAAATTCTAGGAACCACTAGTAAACCTGCAGATTGAGAGCGAAGTGCTCTGTTAGGAACATAAGGAACAATCAGATCTCTGATATCAGATGGAGCTTGGCCATTTAAGGCTTTATATGTGAGAAGGAGGATTTTAAATTCTATTCTGGATTTAACAGGAAGCCAATGAAGAGAAGCCAGGATAGGAGAGATATGATCTCTCTTTTTAATTTTCATTAGAACTCTGGCTGCAGCATTTTGGATCAGCTAAAGGCTTTTAACTACAGTTTGTGGACTTCCTGATGGTAAAGAATTACAATAGTCCAGCCTTGAAGTAACAAATGCATGGACTAGTTTCTCAGCATCACCCCTGGACAGGAGATTGCTCATTTTTGCAATATTCCTCAGATTAAAGAAGGATATTCTAGAAACCTCTTTGATCTGGGATTTAAATGACAGGTCCTGATCAAAAATAACACCAAGATTTTTTACTTTATTATCTGAAATCAGTTTAATCCCATCCAAATGAAGTGACTGACTAATCAGTTTCTTTTTCAGAGACTCTGGTCCAAAGACTATAACTTCTGCTTTGTCTGCATTCAGAATCAGAAAGTTAAGAGTCATCCAGGTTTTTATGTCTTCAGACATGCCTGTAATCTATGTAATGGGTTAGCTTCATCTGGATTTATAGACAGATATAGCTGGGTATCATCAGCATAACAGTGGAAATTAATCCCATGCTGTCTAATAACTCTACCAATTGGGAGCATGTATAAAGTAAAGAGAATTGGTCCTAGCACTGATCCCTGTGGTACTCCACAGGTAACCTTTGAGCGTGTTGAAGATCTATCATTAACATGAACAAACTGAATTCGATCAGATAGATAAGATTTAAACCAGTCTAGTGCTGTTCCTTTAATTCCAACAAAATATTCAAGTCTTTCTAAAAGAATATTCTGATCAACTGGATCAAATGCAGCACTAAGATCCAACAGGACGAGCACAGATACAAGTCCATTATCTGAGGCCATGAGAATATCATTAGTGACTTTCACCAGAGCTGTTTCAGTGCTATGATGAGCTCTAAAGCCAGACTGAAACTCTTCAAAAAGTTCATTATGGTGGAAGTGATCGCAAACTTGTTTGGCAACTACTTTCTCAAGAATTTTAGATCAGAAAGGAAGATTGGATATAGGTCTATAATTGACCAAGTCATCTGGGTCAAGAGACGGTTTCTTAAGCAGAGGTTTAATTACAGCAACCTTAAAAGCTTTAGGTACATATCCCTGTAACAGAGATAGATTAATCACATCTAAAATGGAGGAGGAGATCAAAGGGAATACCTCCTTAAATAACCTGGTTGGAACTGGATCTAACATACAAGTTGAAGGCTTAGATGAAGACAATAATTTTGCTAATTCAGAAAGTTCAACTGGATCAAAGCAGTCTAAACCCGGTTCAGATTCCATGACTACCTCAGGTACAATCATTGCTGCTAAGAGCAGGTGGAATGGACGGTTCAACAGAGCTATGGCTCTGGGTGAGTTTGGCAACTGTATTAAAAAGAAATCTAGGATTATTTGTTATTCTCCTCTATTAATGAGGAGAAGTATGCTGCTCTTGCTTTACAAAGGGTCCTCTTATACTATGGGAGAATTATCCTGCCATAATGCAAGAGCACATAATTTCAATTTGAGAAAAGAATTTCATCTTCTTGCACTCAAAACTTATTAATGCTCACACTCAAAACATGCGCTCCCTCTCAAATATTTTCTCTTCTCTCTCAAATCTTTGTTTCTTCTCTCAGATTTAATGCTTCTTGCACAGATATTTTCTCCTCTCGCTTGCCTCTTTCTCTTCGCGCACAAACCGCGCTCTGCTCAGGTCTCAAATACGCTCGCAAACCCGTAGGCTCTGCTTGCGGATTTTTTCTGCTCTCTCTCGGATTGCACTTGGATTGTCGCCTAGCAACCTTTTCAGCCAATAGAACGACAGCCTGGGAAAGGGTGCGCTTGTTTAACCCTACTGAGAGTGCCTGTAATAAACCTTACCGACAATAAAATGGCTTTTTATTTAAAAGCTATTAAAATAAGAAGCTGAAAAAAAACAACAATCAGGAAAATAAAAAAAGGAAATAATAAAGGGCGATTCAAGAATCACCAACGAACAGTCACTTAATTTCTGCTGGAGGCAGAATTAGCATCTGCCCTGACTAGCAAACTTTTTTTTTTTTTCTGACGAGCAACTCTGAGGCGGGAGTTCACATCACGTCACGTCTGGAAATGGATCGACTGCAAGACTCTAAAGTAAGTAGACTACTTTTCCCAAGACTAAAATGGTTCATAAATCTGTTCAGTTTTTGCCTATATATGAGTTCATCATTGCACATAATTTATTTAAATTCCACACTCCCACAGACTGCCATTCTGGGTCCCTGAGCAAGACCCTTAATCCCCGGGCGCCGCACAATGGCAGCTCACTGCTCCCCAAGGGGATGGGTTAAATACAGAGAAGTAATTTCCCTCTGGGATTATTACAGTATATATATATATATATATATATATATATATATATATATATATATATATATATATATATATATATATATATGTAAAATCAAATCGATTTTTCATTATGACTTTACCTTTATGTTACCTTTCCTCCTCTGTTGTTGCATTGAACCTATAAAAATGATCATATTTTGCACTCAGGAAATGTAGGGTTTTTTTTTTTTCATGTGTTATGTCCGTTATCAATGCTTAGCACTTTGAGGCTTTAATACTGTAACGTCGCAGCAGATATATCTAACGTTACGTTCGGGCCATTTCAAGAGGAGATCATTCTATGCTAACAGACTCGGAGTTAGAAAAAGAATACAAGCATCAAATATTGCTAAAATAAGGCGTTTTTGAACATTTACTAGTATTAACTGTTTTTCCTTAGTTTTACTATTTTTTTTTATTAATTATTGTACAGGTCTGTCGGAGTTAAAATTACTTCAGCTAGCTCTGTCGACACTGATGAAGAAGAAGGATGGACCTCAGCAGACCACACCAACTGCCCCCCCAACCCAGTCAACACATTTAACACCTCAACAGACACCACCCACTACAGTGCATCACGAAATGTGTAGGTAAGTTAATTATTTTAATAAACAAAACAATATCTTCAATTTTGCAAGGTTTTTACAAAACAAAATAAAACTTGATATATTTCTATTATTCTCTTAAGGGAATATCTGTTACTGACCACAATATTTGACTACATTTAAAGACATTTAAAAAGTATTGAATTACACTTTGTAAAGTGCCTTGAGATGACATGCTTCATGAATTGGCGCAATAAAATTGAATTGAATGTTTTTCAAAAAAAAAAACATTAAGGGAAGGCGAGTTTATTTAAAAACAGGGGTGCAACATTTTTAGTCTTTTTCTCAGAGGAGAACGTAGGGCTGTTACTTGGCCCTCACATTTTTTATTAAATATTTTCTTAACCCACTACACAATAGGAACAAAATAGAGGAAGGCATGGCTAATGTAACTTTATTTAATTTTATCTGAAAATGACAAGGAGTACAAAAAATGTCTTGTCTTTTCAGTCTTATAACTTCCTAATAACATGGCTATATTTCAAGCTCTTTCAATTCAATTTTATTTATATAGCGCCAATTCATGAAGCATGTCATCTCAAGGCTCTTTACAAAGTCAAATTCAATCAGATTATACAGACTGGTCAAACATTTCCTATATTTAAGGGAACCAGTTGATTGCATCAAAGTCTTGACAAGCAGCATCACTCCTGAAGAAGCGTAGAGCCACAGGGAGAGTCGTCTGCATTGCTGATGGCTTTGCAGCAATCTCTCATACCGAGCAAGCACCGGTATGCAAGCACCGGTATGCAAGCACCGATAGTGGAAAGAAAAACTCCCCATTAACGGCTAACAACGCCAGACCAGGTGTACCTACTATGAAGAAAAAAAAGACGGAGAGACAAAAGTTAAAAGCAGAAATGACGACAAGCAACACAAAACTGGAGAACGGTAGAACTCAGTAGAGTGAGAAAATTAGAAAAATAGACCCTGATGTCCTCCAGCAACCTTAAGCCTGTAGCAGCATAACTATAGAGATAGCTCAGGGTAACATAAGCCACTCTGACTAGAAGCTTTGTCACAAAGGAAAGTTTTAAGATTAGTCTTAAAAGTAGACAGGGTGTCTGCCTCACGGACCAAAACTGGGAGTTGGTTCCACAGGAGAGGAGCCTGATAACTAAATGCTGATGAAGGTTCTCAGTCATCCAGGTCATAGTCATTCCGTAAACATTTCCAAAAATATCCACTGGAGTCCAGTGGATATTTTTTGAAATTTTTACGGATAACTAAAGGATCTTCATTCTACCTTTAGAGACTCTAGGAACCACCAGCAGACCTGCAGTCTGAGAATGAAGTGCTCTGTTAATTTCAACTCAATTCTATTCAGTTTATTTATATAGCGCCAAATTCACAACACATGTCATCTCAAGGCACTTTACAGTTCAACCAGATCATCCAGTCAAATTGATACAAAGTTTTCTATCTAAGGAAAACCAGTTGATTGCATCGACTCATTGACTCTTCAGCAATCCCTCACACTAAGCATGCTTGTAGCGACAGTGGAGAGGAAAAACTCCCTTTGAACAGGAAGAAACCTCCAGCAGAACCAGGCTCAGTGTGAGCGGCCATCTGCTGAGGCCCACTGGGGTTCAAGGAGACAGAAGCAGAGACACAAAAAGCAGCTGTAAAAGGCGCTCCGTCCAGGAAACACACAGCCAGGCAGACGAGCTCCGAGCCAGCTCCCATGTCAGAGGGATGCCCCGTATGTTAGGAATATACGGGGTTATCAGAGCTCAGATATATGATGGAGCTCGATTATTAAGGGCTTGATGGCATATTCTGCACAACATCTCTGTGCGTTCATCATTCTTTGAAGCCACCTCACCTCCTGCAGAAAACTTTCTGAAAACACCCAATGTTTTTGCACTTCAGACTAGTTTTATTGAAGGTGGTGGAACACCAAAGTTATTGCTGAATGTCGTTTGTTTCTTAGATATTTTTGCAACATTCTAACATTCTGGCTCAGACCAGCACTGCATATTGGGCTCTTATACATTTCCAAAACATAGGCAAATGAGCGTTACTGCATTTCATCTAGTTGTCATTTTTTATTTTTGATGGCGCACCAGCACCTGTGGCCGCTTATGTGCAGCTCTTTTTACAAAGCACTGTCATGATGGGTCTCTGTGATTAAACCCACATGCAGAACACCACACGAAGCAGGGTAAAAGTTTAACAGTTTATTAAAGATGCAACACAGAGTAAACAAGCACAGGTTCTGGTACCGGTCCGGGACTTGGTTTCACAGAGTAATCTGCAGAGAGGGATAGTTTGGTTAGCCAGGTAGCAACGATGACTTGGCTGAGTCTTAGATTGAGATTTGTACCTGATGAGGCTCAGACAGTTCAGAAGAGAGGGGGAACCGGTCGGGTCCAGAGAATGTGGTTCCAGCAGAGAGAGTTCTGCAGCGACAGAGCTTAGCTTCAGGCTAGCGAGGTTCAGACCTTGAGTTGTTCTCCTAGTTCTCTCCTGAGAACTAGTTGGGAGATTCAGGCTGAGGATCTTCAGGTTTGGCTTCTCTGTGCAGGCAGGCAGGTTTCCAAACATGAGCTCCTCCAGAGCTACTGAGTCCAGTCGGGCTTTCCTGTGAGCAGAGAGGACAGAGACTGGTTAGGATCAGGTTGCTCTCTAGAGCAGACAGAGTTTCTAAATACAAGTAGTGGCTCAGGTTCCGCTAACCAAAACTGGTCAACAGTCCGGCGCTGAAGACAGGTCTGGTCGCTGCTTAAGTAGGAAGGTCTCCTGATGGGCTGATGATCCTCAGGTGTGTAGAAGGCTCCGGCTCAGGAAACCCACAGCGCTCTCTGCTGGAGACAGGTGGCAGATCTCCAGATCCCAACACTTTTCAGTAACAAGACAATTCAGACTGATGTACATGAATAAAAAAGTATTAAAGCGGGAAAAATATTACATAGGAAAAGAAAAACATTACATTAACAAAGGAATAATTCAATAAAATTTTATTTTTAGTGGTAATTCACAATACATCAGAATAAGCACTTGGAATTTATAAAAAAGATATAAAGCATCTCAAATTAAATTTAAATGGCAAAAACATTACCTGATTTCACTAGATTAATAATATGAGTAGATTATTGTTTCAGCAAATGGTATATGTTTGAGTCTGTGTACCATTGCTGTAGGTAATGATTTGATTTGATTAAGTTGAGATAAGGTATTTCAATAACTGATCATGATTAATTTGATTAATTGTTTCAACACAAGTGAGTAATTTTTTTGTTCCTTTTGAATGTATAGGTCTTTTCCTGGTATTTTTTCCCGAGGTTCTGCAAAGGGAAGAAAACGCTTTTTCTCTCCATCCAGAGTGATGTCCACAAGTGGCAAAAGTGTAACACTACATTTTTTTCTGCTCAATGAAAACACTGATAAAACACCAAAAGCAGGCATGGAGATGACGCTTATACTGGCTGGAATGGGTAGACGTAGTATAACATTCCCTGAATCTGCTGATCACTTACAGGTAGGATCCTCTCTTTTGACCTATTTATTTCTTAAATTCTAATTTTAATTGATTTATGAAAAAAATAATTTTTACAGATTTCAGGACTTCTGACCAGCCACTACCCAAAACTTAACAACTTACAAGGGGGCTGGCTGCTTTATAAAGCACTAGGTATTACAATCTGTAAAACTGTTACAACCTGTCTTTCTTCTCTTCTATTGTCTCACTCAATTATATCATTTTTAGGAGGTTCGGGGCAGAGAAAACTTTCACTTATACCTCCAGAGACTGAGGGTTACAATGGCAACCTTCTGAAATCTGTAACAGGAGGTGGGAAAAATCTGATCTACATAATGCCACTTCAGGAAAAACTTGATATGTCCCCTCTTCCTTTGGATGCCAAAGAATTTAAAGGCATGCCCAAGGCAACATGCAAAGTTTGTAGTGCTACCATGCCACTGCAAGTCTTGGCTGTCCATGTTAAAACCTGTGTTGACCTCAGATCCTCTGGAGAGGAATTTGAAATTTCTAATACGGTAAGGTAAAAAAAATCTACATGTACAATATCCTAATGTTTTATTTTTTGCTTTCTAAATGTTCTTTTCTTTTTGAAAGTCTCATCATGCGATAAGTGATGATAAAGGTACTGCAGTTGCATCCACATTCAGGACAAACTACACAAAGATCCTTGAAACTTCTGAAGGGACACCTATGGTAAAGCAAGACTAACTTTAGGATTTCTATTTTTTGTGACTGGTGCTTCTTTTATCATAGTGGGAAATTGTCCTAACTTATACTGTACTGAAAATTATAGCTGTTCAGTTTCACCAAAGATTGTTCAAAAGCTTTACTGAATGAAAAGCTATTACAAATGTAAAACTTCTGCAAAATTGGTCAATACATATATTTTTTAAGATTTGTCTTACAAACTATGGCCGTTTTCACACCGTCTGTTGCGGCTCGGTGCACATTACTATATAAAGTTAAATTGACTTTAGTGAGTTTGGTTCAGGAAGCAGCTGTTGGGTTCCCACTGGCCCAAACATACTGTTCGGAAGGTAGACAGAACCTTTGGGTTGATCTGAACAGAGCCTGTGTGAAAATGACCAAAGAAACAAACTCTGAACTTTCTTTTATGGTTTTTAATTTAAGGCTGCCTGCCCTGTATGTCAAGAAGAATATACACTGGACTTTTTACAGATCCATGCAAGCTGTTGTGGAGACAGGTGAGTATCTTTCTGTCTGTCTCTGCGTCTGTCTGTCTGGCTGGCTGGATAGCTGCATTTCTACTATGAGAACCAACTTTTTTTTCTTTTTCAGTGTTGAGGAAGCACCTGTACCAGACCAGGTTCACAAATCAACTGAACGTGGAGAAAAAAGGTAACCAACCCGTTATAAAACTCTAGAATTGTTTTTGTGTTTTTCTTCCTGCTTTCTTTAACAACCTATATGAAACTAGCTGAAACAATATGCTAATACATTTAAATTGCTCATATTCCTTCTGTGAAGTATACAGCAGTACAAACACTTCCAATAGTAATTATGTTCTTTATTCTAAGATTATATTTAACTGAATTTCCCTTTTCTTTTCTCTACTACTTAATAAGTCTTGATGATGTGATAAAAGAAATCACAAATGCAGTATGAACTGATGGAGTTACCTTTGATATTGCTGTGTCTCGCAAAAACTTGTTGGAAAGAGGCATTGCGCAATGGCAACGGCAAAAGAAAACATCCCCAAACAACCCACTGAAAGTCACCTTCATAGGGGAAGCTGGCATTGACACAGGTGCCCTCCGTAAGGAATTTTTGACAGGTATTTCAATATTAATTATATATTTTTTGTAATAAAGACTCACGATACTTTCTATTACTGGTCTTATTTTTATCAAATTAAAAATAAGAGATCAGAATTATATATAAATGTATTTGCAACTGTTGTTTTTCTATGGAACACATGTAATTTTTAGTCATTTTAACACTCAAATCTAATTTCTGTAGTTCCACTGCTTAATTTTGTTTTTTCTAAAAGCATATGATGAAGTGCTCTTAGAGATGGTTTCAGGGATTGAGAAACGCTTCTTTTTGAGGGGAGTTCATGGCTGTGCACCCACGTATTCCCTGTCAGATTTGGACAAAGGTCATTTCCGGTATGTACCTAAATGTCATTTACAGTGATTTAAGTTTAAATTCATAACAATGTACAGAATGTGACTTTTAATTGTATATTTTTATTGTTATAACTTCTCGATTGTTCATATTTAATATGACTTTTTTGGACTTTTCACTCTATTTGGATTTAGGCTTTACATATACATAGATATACGTACGTACAGATATATATATATATATATATATATATATATATATATATATATATATATATATATATATATATATATATATATATATATAGAAGAGCTATATGTGTATATATATTTTATCTCTTTTATTCTTATTTTTTATCTTTATTATATTGTATAGTTGGATGTGTGTATATATCATGTTAAACTGTAACTAGAGGGTGTAACAAAAGTAATTTCCCTCTGGGATTATTAAAGTATTTCTGATTCTGAAAATAGTTGATTGAAACCTGGTAAAACATTCATAGATAATGAAAGAAAGTTTGTAATTAGGGTTTTAATTTACACTGTCGTCTAAGTTAATGATTATAGGTTAAGTAACATCATAGTTCTTTAACTAGTTTCATCTGCTGAAAAATGGTGCACCACCTTCCACAGTTTATATTAAAGTGTAAATAAACCCAAATGGCCCTGCGACAGATTGGTGACCTGTCCAGGGTGAACCCCGTGAACGCTGCCCAGTAAACGCTGCAGATAGGCACCAGCAACCTCCACGACCCCATGAGGGACTAAGCGGTTCAGAAAATGGATGGATGGATAAACCCAAATGCCATCCAAGTGAGCAGTGCTGAGAGTGGGTTAAACAGGGAGTTGTCAGGGCTGGTGGATGCAGCATTTCACTTTATTTGAATTTACATGAAAAGTAAGAATAGGAAAATTTGTACGAGTACTTTTTACGGTCAAGACATTTTAATTATCCATTTACCAGGAGAGAGTTTATTTTTACAGAATGGAAAACACACCAGCTCTAACACAGGCTAACATTCAAAGCATTATTGCACTTAGTCTTAACTCCTGAGATGTAGCTGACCGATATAAACTTAGGGGGATGTTGAAAGGCAGGGTCAGCAGAGACAGTAGTTTGCCACAGATCACTCTTTATAGATTTAGGATTTTTCTATCCTATCGTCAACAACGGTTTGCATGGCCATTTGGAGCCCAGTGGGTCTAAACTTATTTGAACACTCATTTGTTTGTATTGTTGAAATCTATGTTGCATCTGTTGGTTGAATTTTGCAAATCCACACACCATGTAAGGTTAAAAAAAGCATAAACCATTACTTTATGTTTTTATACTCAAACATTGTTAAGTTGTGATTGCTTCACATTTTTTCAGGACTGTTGGAGAAATAATGGCAGTGAGCTTGGTTCAAGCTGGACCAGCTCCAAACTTCCTGATGCCTTGGTGCTATAGATTCTTGTGCACTGGTTCCCCGGACTTTGAAAGCATGGACAGAAATGATGTGGTCGATGATTACTTCATTGATCTTATATCAAAGGTGAGGACACTAGGATACCTGCTAAAAAGAAACTCCTAAAAATTAAAAGGTAGTTTTATATGTAGTCTAACCAAAGCTATTGTTGTATACTATGACAGTTTTGCAGGGTATACATTTATTAATTTTCAGGTGACGTTTATTAATTTATAGTCAACCTTTACCACTAACCATGATTCCTCCATCTGCTTATATGCCCTTAAGTCACAGTTCCAGCAGACAACTTCCTGAGAAATTTGGCAAACTAAGATCCTAAAGGAAAACAACCTTAGAAAGCAGGCATGCTGTGACTGTAGTAATTATTGGAGCTTTCAATCACCTTTTACTTGTGGAAAAATGTGGAACTTGTTTTATTTTAGGTTGAGTCTGCAAATGAGGCAACTCTCTTGAACATCACCGAAGACATCTTGAACTGCGGTTATACAGGAATCATTCTTGTGGATAAAAAGCAAGAAATGATGCGGTACGTGTGTTGTCTTGTGTTTTTTGTACAATATGCTGTTACCTTACACGAATTATAGATAACTGATGAAAATTCACTTCAGACCTCCTGTATTGATTTGATTGACAATGCACAATCTCTACAACACGAGCCTGGCAAACCAGAATGACTTATGTCGTATCCACTGTGTATCAGTATGCTACGTAGCCGGTAGTGTACAATTTCAAAGGCGGGATTAACAAGGTGAGTTATGATTAAAGAAAAGTGCTGCTGTGTTATGAGTAATAAGAGTGTCTCATTGCAAAGTCCCACCTCTCGACAAAAGTCGTCCTCTCCTTAATACAGTGCAGTTGCCTAGTCCAATCGAGAGGGTGCTTCTAACCACCAAAGTTGTTACTACTTAATGTTACAAGAGTTATTCTTCAGATGCAGTATTTATTGAATAGATTTATATTTCCTGTCTTTTGACTTGATATTACCACTAAATGTGTTAAAGGTTAGAGCAGGGGTCGCACATCATTTTTGAACATGAGAGCAACTTTCATGTTGTTCAGTCCTACAAATGGTTACCAGTACTGACGTTAGAACTGGAAGAGTCAGAGTTCACCATAACGTTATCTAAAATAAAATAAAAAATCCCATTTTGTTATAGATTTTGTTGTTTTTAAAATCTATATAAATGCAAGTGAGAATAAACAGGAAGAGTAAAAGAATAAAATTAGGTGCACTGGTGGGTTGTGCTGTTTTTAGAAAAAGATCATTAGTGCCACTGCCACATATAATCCTTGGGGTTCAACTTGGTGTAAGCAGATACCATTTTGGTGACCCCTGGTCTAGAGTTTTTCCTTTTGTATTATTAATGTTTTACCAATTGTCCAATTGTATTGTGTTTATGTGCTCTTGATTTTGAAGATAACTAATTTTTGGGGATAAACAAAGATGATTAACAAACAACCTATAATGGCAGGTTGTTTCTATTCTCATTGCTGTCAGTTATATGCAAACTTTGTAAAGTTTATCTAGACAATTAGATCCCCCCATATTGCAGTATTTTGTATATATTTAATATTAGAAAATATGTTACTCGAATAGTATTTGTTCTTTCAGCAATGTTCCATTTTACATCATTGTTTGCCTCTTTCTCTTCACAGATCAGTTGTACTTCATGCGAATCTGAGGTTGCTCCCAATTTTGCAGCAGCTAAGGGAAGGGCTTAGGCTCTATGGCTTGTCAGATATAATGAGCACATATCCAGATATTTGCCAGCCATTGTTTGTGCCAGGTGTTGAAATGAAAGTAAGTACACTTTGTGTTCTAAATTCCACACAAAATCTGTTATCCTTCTGTGGCTGCATGCATTAACACAATAACATTCCCAGTTCAACACATGAGATCATATGAGGACTTTAAATGTGTTCTTCTGGAAGCATTCCACATGGGTCAGGAATTCACAAAAGTGTAAAAGTTACTTTAACACCAGTTTCTTTGAGAAAGGATCTGATTCAGTACAGGACTGATGTGTAAAAGTTATAAGCTTAGTGTTGTGTGAATGTTGATTAAAACGTGTTTGCTCAAAAGACTAATAAAACATCAGCTGTGACTTACAATCTCTTTGTTTGGTTGCTAAATCTAAATTATGCCTACTGCTGAGTATAGTGAAATGTATTTGAATATTACATACTGTAAACATTGTTGATTGAAATCATTCTAAAGACTTCCTTTCAAGCTGAAAAACAATGTTCAGCTTTATATGGGATCTTGCTTATGATAGACAATTAATAAGAATTGTTTTTATTTTCTTGTTTGATTTTCTAACTAAACATAACTGAGTCATTAGAGTGTCTGTCACTTAAGACACTGCTGGACAAATGTACAACGGAATTGTGTTTTTTTTTTTAAATATTATTTGATAATACTCTAAACTTAAAAGAAGTATTTTTTTAAAAAAAAGGTTTAAAAGATTTTAACATTTTAATGTTTGTACTTACACTGTATTTACTGGAAGATCTGAATACAGAATATGTCTCGACCATAGGAGTCAGAAGGGGCTGTGGGATCCACAATGGCTTGAAGCTCTATCATTTCATGGTCATTTAGAGGAGAGGGGAATTCCGGAACAACCAGTCCGGTTTGCTGATCAGTCTCAACATGGTGTAAAGCACTCTCCCAATCTATGTTGAGGTCTGGATGTTCCTACATTAAAACAACAGATTTTTGCAATTTGTAAGAAATCTTGTGTAAAAACTGAGTACCATTTCTGGACTTACATTTACATCCCCATTTGTTCTGTTGTGCAGCAGTCCTAAGTCCCACAACTGCTGGGGTGTCATGTTCCCCTCTGTGCGTAGAGGGTGATTGTTCCAACCCTCGGTAAAAGTTTGGAGGTCTCTGTCAAGCCGGGGAAGGAAAACGAAGTGCACCAGGAAGAATGTGCAATGTATTTGAGATGTCTAGTAGCCCATCCTCTTCCAGACTGTGCAGGACCTCATAATAGTTTTTTGTTACAGCCATCCATACATCTCGCCACAATCTCTCAATCCTGTGAAGGAGATAAATGATCAATCATATTAGATGGAAATAATGGTTTGGAAATTGTTATACAAATACTTTTAGAGTGGAGCTTTTTTTTCATCACACAGCAATATCCTTTTAGAGGCTAAACAGTATATGCCACTTTAGTAATTAAATTTTACATGATGCCACTTAGGGGTGGGTATTGCCAAAGAAGTCACGATTCGATTCAAATCACGATTCACAGGCCACGATGCGATTCTATCACGATGCATCACGATACTTGAATTATTGCGATGCATTGCAATATTTTCTCCTCCATGTTGTTTTTGAATGACTCGGCACAGTATCCCACGGCCGGAAATGCTTGTGACACAAGGCAGCGTGCGTCAACACATTTGCAGCGACATCTACTGGACTGGAAGTGGTATTGCACTTGTTTTTGGCTGATGTTCGCCAACCATTCATGCAATTTTATGTATTCATTTTTTTTAATTAATAATCGATTCTTGGCATCAAGAATCGATGCAGTAGATCATGAAAATTAGAATCACGATGCATCATCATCACGATTATTTTGCACACCCCTAATGCCACTATAGGCATTGCTACAACAAAATGTATCTTAAGTTTTGGTCATTTATGCGTGTTTATGTTCCGTAATAGTGTTTGTTAGGCTGAAGGCTGCCTGGATTTAGCATAGCAGTCCTGAGTTCCTCTCCTACCTATGATAGTGTTCCATCCTTTGACCCTATGAAAGGGATAGAAGCTTCATGCTATCTTGATAAATCTGTCTGTCAACAACACATCTGGGCCCCACTGCTCTTAGGATTGCTCTCGATTGTCATTGGCCTTACAAACACACTAGATCATACTACCTCCTTTTTATGTCATCTACATCTTCAGCCTTCCTGTCCCAGAGAACAGGCCTGGATCAAGTGATCAACTAAACTTTGTTTTTAATAAATATTAAAAACATTTCCCTGGTCTCCCAAGAATGTTTTTGCATGTGGGTAAAAGCCATAAACTCACCATGATGAGTGCACATCTAATTTTTATCCATAGTTAAAGTACTCTGATTACTGCATCTGTTCTTTAGAAACAGCAGTCAGACACACAGCCCACAAGGTGAAGGTGTAGAGGGTGAAGAGAAATGGAGACAGGACGGTGGCCTGGAGGCCCCAGTGCTGCAGACTGATAGCCTTGCAGCCACAGGGCTGTCAGTCAGAAAAAATCCTGACTTTGATTTTCTTATAGAAATCAGGAGAAAAAGATTTCTCTTCCAGGGTCAAGTCATCCACGCCTCCCAAAATTAACCATCTCACTCGAAACTACGTATACAATTTGAGGTCTGATTAAACATGATAATAACATTTTAATAAATAAATAAATACCAATTTTAATATCATAATACAGTACTTATTATTTATTAACCTGCTGATATAGCCAACAAACCGTATAGTTAGTCCAATGAAAAGCTCCTTTGAGGTGAAAACAGCGGTGGCTTTCAGAAGACATTAGTCTCCTTTCGTTGTAATGTCCTACTTGAGCTGCGATTGGACTCCTCTTTGGGACCAATTGTCCACTCATCCAACATTTTAAAACATCCATAACTCACTGACTGGTTAAAACGTAAAGATTTGCCATTATACTAACAAAGTATTTCAAGATAATAATTTAATATGTTGGTTCTTTGCTTTTGTACATAACAAAATAATAATTGTTTAAAATTACTTACTTCACAATTGTTTGGGTTATCCATAAGTACTGAACTTTGCTGAATCGAGCCACGAAACTACTGTAAATAGCAGTTTCAGCTGACGCTCTTATAAGTGGCGCAGTAGCACAGGCACTCTCAGTAGGGTTAAACAAGCGCACCCTTTCCCAGGCTGTCGTTCTATTGGCTGGAAAGGTTGCTAGGCGACGATCCACCTGCAATCCGAGAGAGAGCAGAAAAAATCCGCAAGCAGAGCCTACGGGTTTGCGAGCGTATTTGAGACCCGAGCAGAGCGCGGTTTGTGCACGAAGAGAAGGAGGCAAGCGAGAGGAGAAAATATCTGTGCAAGAAGCATTAAATCTGAGAGAAGAAACAAAGATTTGAGAGAGAAGAGAAAA